CGCTGCACCTGCGTCCGGGTGTGCCCGGCCCTGCGCACACGTGCGTGCCCGCCTCGCGGACGGGTCGGGTCTGGCCTGAGTCGTGTCGGCAGGACACGGACCCTGTACAGCCGGGGACACTGAGGCCAGGGGCACCAGGCTGGCCAGGTGGAGCGAGAGAAGGGACGCGGTTTGCATGTGGGCGCAGCGGCCGGTAATCCTGGCTAAAGGGCCGGAGTTGCTGGGGGTCCCTCCCACCATGCGTTGGGCAGGGAGGTGCGCCCCTGCTGCAGGGCAGACTTAGTCTCTCACACTCCCTCACACGCCCCCAGAAAGTTGGGGTGACTGGCTCCTCCCACCCACCGTGGTCTGGGGGGCGGGGTGGGGGCCGGGAGCAGGACAGAGGCCACCCCTCTTTCAGGGGCTATCTCCGGTGGTCTCCAAGGGTGAGGACAGTGATCAGACCCGTGCCCCCCAACTGTGCCACACACCTGTCTCCCCACTTTGCTCTGTGCTGGCTGCGGGGAGGGATCCTGGCAGGGAACCCTCCCTCCCTGCACCTGCCTGGCATGAGCTCCTGGCTCAGGTGTGCCGCGGGCACAATGGGCCATTGTGCACCCCAGCAGTTTGCCACTGGAGGAAGTTCAGGCCAGCCCTGTGGCCCCTGGGGCCAGTGGCCTCCCAGGCACCTAGAACCCCAGCCAGATGGGCCATGGCCCCTTGGGTGGGGGGCTCAGGTTGTGACAGGTCCAGGCCCCCAGCAGGGGGCAGTGCCTGAGGAAGAGCCCCTGGGCGTGGGACCCAGGTGGAGGCCTGCGCACCGGCCTTCCCAGCCGTTCCCCTGCACTTTGGAGAGGGTCAGCCACTGTGGTGGGTCCAGGGCAGAGCAGGTTCAGGCTCCCCTGGCCCCGTTGGGTCCCCCAGCCCCTGCCTGTGTCCATCTCCGAGGGTTGGCCCTGGTGATAGAGCAAAGGGTCTGCAGGGAAATCTACCCCGGCCTCCTCCCTGATTGCTCTGTGGCCTGCGGCAGCTTCCTGGTCCTCAGCTTCTCCATCTGTGGCCAGGTAAAGGGGGCTCGAGCAGGTGGTGCGTGTGAGAGGTGTTGATGATGGTGCTCCTGAGGCTCCGCGACCTCCTTGTCCCTCTTATCTGTCCCCCTACCCAGTGTCCCCCCAGCCCCTCCCTCCCAAGGCCGTTCTGGGGCGCAGGCTGTCTGCTAGGAGCCTTAGAAGCCCGGGCGGGCAGGCAGGGGGCAGCCTGGGGCCGGGCAAACAAATCCAGGATGTGAGAGCCACCCAGAGCCGGGTGGGGCGGCCACTGGCCGCGGGAGAGGAAGCCCGGCGGCCTCCCGGTGCTGCCTTCCTGCCGGCTCCCAGGCGCTGCCCCGCCCTCAGTGCAGGGCCCAGGGAAGGATGGGGGAGCCCCTGGTGTGCAGAGAGCCTCCTGGCCAGACGGTCAACACCTCCCAGCCAGCCACACCTGCGCCCCTCCCTTCGCTCAGAGAGCTGACCTCAGCTGGCAAACCCGTTTCCCCAGTTTGAGTTTGGGTGAGGACCCAGGGGAGTGCCCCTTTTCTGTCCTTCCTTTCCCCTTACAGACCCCAGGTTAGCTCTCCTGCTCTCCTGGGGGAGGAAACTGGGAATTAGGGTCCCCAAGGGCCCTGGTGGGGAAACCAGGACAGAACAAGACTGTGAGAACAGTTCCTTTTAGCTGGAAAAGGCTTAGCCTGGCAGGTGGAAGTCTCAGGTGGGACCCCACTGGCTGTCCCTCTGCTGGAGCCATGGTGGGCCTACTACAGTCCTCCCTGAACATGCAACCCTGCCGCCTTCCTGCCCCTTGATCCTTGCGTATTCACTGAATCGCGGAGAGGAGCTAGGCCCCGCAGCAGTGACCAGTCCAGGAAGCCATCCTGGAGGTTGAGGGGACAGGAACAGCAAGAGCAAGCACATGGCAGTGGGAAACAGGGCCAGGCCCTGTGGATGGGTGGGGGGCATCGAAAGGACTCTGGGGACGGTGGGGAGCACTTGCCTCGCCTGTGCAAGGCCCTGGGCCCATCCCCAGCCCTGCGAAGGAGGAAAATGACAGAGGACCCTGAAGCCACCGTTGCTTCCTGGGGAGAGGTAGGAGGGGTGGGCGGGGACCAGGGGCTGGAACAGCACCTGGTGGAGGGCACTAGGGCAGCCTGCAAAAGCACATACAAATCAGCATGCAAACAAGCGGCCCCTTCTCAGGCTGGAGCCCTGGTATTTCCCCGCAAAACGGGGAGCACCCAGGTTACGGGTGGGGCCCACGGGGACCCTCCAGCTGTGCCACTGCAGAGATCAGGTCGGGCCGAGCTGACTTTGTCCTGCTCGCCCCTCTTTCCTGTCCCTCAGCCCTGCCCCATGAGCTCTGCTGGGCCCACTGCTCTCTCTAGGATCTGAGCTGGGCTTGGTCCTTCCTGGACCTCAGTTTACCGTCTTGAAGTAGAGAGGTCGCAGCTGGGTTTCTCCTCCGGCCTCTGTTGCTGAGAGAGAGGGACTGAGAGATGGAGCCATTAGCACTGAGCTGGGTGCTGAAGCAGGGGCTGGGAAGCTCTGAGGTTGTTATGGCAATCGGGGAGCTGATGGGGAGGTGTGGGGTCCCCATGGAAACAGGGTCAGTTACTATGGGGACCCTGGTAGGAGAGTCACAGTTTCCATAGTGGTAGGGAAAGGGGATGGTTAACCCCAGAGGGGTGTTATAGGGACCAGAAGGTCCACCCTTGTCAACATCTCTTCTCCACAAGGGCCAGAGACTGGTCCAGCCACCCTGGCGCTTACCCGACTGACCACCGTCCTCAGTTGTCCCCGTCCCTCTCTCTTTAACTTCTCGTCTCCCCGCTCCATCCCGTAGCCCGAGTTCCTCCAAGCCTGGCCTGCGGTCCTTGTGATGTAGCCAGAGCCACCTTTGGTTTGACACCGCCTCCCCCTCCTGATGCTGCCTGGGAAACCCCCTAGGCCAGAGAGGCCATCCTCAACAGACCCCACTGCACCTGTTGCCCTTCCGCTCCTCTGTCCCCGGAGATGGGGCTGCTCTGACCATTGAGCTGTGATTGGTTGACCCTCCCTACCTGTTCAGAGCTCTCCCAAGGGCCACCAACATGCTCCGCCTCAGCTGCCAGTGAGCCAGCGATGGCCCTGCCTTCACCTTCCTTAGCCACCCCACCTCTGGGTGCACCAGACAGGGTAGCCTTGAGAAGGTGCTGGCCCTGCCAGGACCCTGCCTGGGCACAGCTCAGAAAGCAAAGCACACTTGGACCTGTATGGGTGGAAACAGCCAGTGGTAACCTGGGTCACTCGGGGGCTTGGGGTGCGGAGGCTAGAGGTGAGGGGCACCTACCTGTGCAATGCCTTGGATGTGGGGAAGGCTGAGTTTGCTCTAAAGGTAAAGCTTGTCAAAGCCAGGTGTGATGGGGTATACCTGCAATCCCAGCACTCGGGAGGCTGAGGCAGGAGGATCTCTGCAAGTTCAAAGGCAGCCTGAGTTACATAATAAGTTCAAGGCCAACCTGAACTACATAATGCGACCCTGTCTCAAAAAAAAAAAAAAAAAAAAAAAAAAGGAGCTGTGCCAGGATGGTGGCTGATGTCTCCTGGAGGCCCTTGGTGTACCAGGTTTGGAGCAGGTCAACCAGGGTTCGGAGGCAGGAGGGCTCCGTGGCCCCCACTCCTTTGACAGACAGCGCATCTCCCTGCTGCTGCAGCTATAGGCTCTCTGGGTTACCTCAGAGTTCCAGGAAAGGGGCAGCCGTGTCCACCCAGGGCTGCCAGCCCTGGGGAGCCCCTCATCTCGGCACACTCTGGGTCCTCGGAGCTGGGCAGGACAGGTTGAGTCCCTTCAGGAGTGACTGTTGGCACTCATTCTGGCAGGGGTACCGGCTTTCCCTCCCCCACCGTCTTCTGCCCTGCAGAAGGACCTGGGTGTGTGCAAAGACCCCTGCCCCCTCCTGACCTCTGCACCCATCCCAGGCCCTGCCTATTGGAAGCCACAGGACTGAGCAGGCTACAGGTGCGGCCCTGGGGCTGACATTATGAGTGGGTGAGGAACCCCTGGGCCTGGCCAGGCTTATCCAGGTGATCGCATGAAGGCCGGGAGGGCTCTGTGGAAGTCACAGGGGCAGTGGAGCCCCTGCAGCTGGCTTAGCTGTGCCCCTCTGACCTGGAGGTGGCAGGCCAGGGTTTAGGCCCATTTGGGCTTTCCTGGCCCAGCAGAGCTCTGGTGCACAAAAGGGCCCAGCATTTTGGGTGAAAGATGCCCAGCTTTGGGGTAGAAGAGGGACATCTTTGAAGGCACAGGCCTCAGGGATCCGATGGTCAGCATGAGCTGGCTGGCTAGCAGCCATGAGTGACCCTGGCCTTTGCCTGGCGTGGTGGCACACTGCTGTTATCCTGGTACTCTGGGAGGCTGAGGCAGGAGGACCGCTGCAAGTTCAAGGCCAGCCTGGCCTATGTAAGCATTACGGGTGCCTCAGGAGTTTGTAGGCCTGGCACTGTGGGATGGGGCTGTCTATCTAGAGGAGGGTCTGGAAGTCCACACTGGGAGCAGCCTCAGGCCTGCTGGGTGGGGGCCGTGATGTGCAGGACCCCCTGTCCTTTCCCACCCAGTCTGAGGCCTCCTCTGACTCCGGGAAATGCTCTCTGCATTTGGCCCATTGGGAGCTACAGGTGGGACCAGCAGGGAAGGACTGAGGGAAGAGAGCTCAGGACGGGCAGGGCCAGCTCCATCCCCAGGTGTGGCTCCAGGTTAGGGCAGGTGAGGGCTCAGCTGTGTCCCTGAGCAGAGCCCAGCCAGGTGGCCAGAACATGGCAGGGCCATGACTATGGGTGAGTTCTCATCCTTGGGCCCAAGGTGCCTTGAGTGAAGTTTACCATGCAACAGGGGCGGGAACCAGATCCCAGATAGCAGCTTCTCAAGCCCCAGCCTCAGCCCAGCCTGCAAAACTGGTCTCCGGCCCACAAGCCCCACCCAGGGCAGGGCAGCCCCGTGCCTCCCCGCGGTGCCCAGGCCGCACCTCCAGCGCCTGACAGGTCCCTCGAAGCCTTTCTCCCCGGGCCAGGGTGCCCCGGCCCCCCCACATCCCTGCGGTCTGCCGGGAGGAAGAGGCTCCCCTCCCCCACCGTGACTGTGCGCTTCCTGCCCCCGCTGCCGGGGCAGGAGGAGACGTTTCCCGTTCACACCAGTTTCCCTGGCGGCACCCAGACCGGGGCTCACCGTGCCCCTCTTGCCCATGGAACCTGCTCTGGGGCCTGGGGCCCAGGTAACATCGAGGGTGGGTGGAGATTCCAGGGCAAGGTGGGGCCTCTGCAGGGATGCTAGCCTGTAGGTGCTGGGGCGTGCTTGTGCCCGGGGTGACCAGCAGTACACACTGTGTCCTGGGACCCACCATCCAGGAAGGTTTCCTGGAGGTGGTAGCTGCAGAGCTGAGAGAAGGAAGCGGGTGAGGCCCAGCTCACCACCTTGGCTGGGTGGCAGCTGGCCCATGAGAGACCTGGTGCAGCCCTGGCACCAGTGTAGCCCACACCCCACTTCTGCCCCCCTCACCACAGCTGTCCTATGTGGATCCAGGAGGGTTAGGGAGGGGCCAGCAGCAACAGGGGTGGGGCTGGAGCTGCAGCTGGGTCCTGGAAGCGGGGGCAATAGAGGGTGACCTTCCAACTTCCGGTCCTCCCTCACCATCACTTCCCCCGTCCCCTCTGCTGCGCTGTGACCCCTGACTCTCCTGTGGCTCCCTGGATTCCTTCTCCACCTGTCGCACCCTCCGTGCTCTCTGTGTCCCGGACACCGCCTGTGCCCCTGCAGAAGGACCTGGGTTACCTGCAGCAGTGGCTGAAGACTTTTGTGGGTACCTTCGAGAAGAGCATCTCGCTGTCCTCCCTGGAGCCACGAAGGTGAGGCTCGCTGCGGGAGCAGGCCAGGCCCAGGGCTGGGTCCGGCAGGCACCCCGTGACGCTCCCTCCCCGCAGGCCGGAGGAAGCCGGTGCGGAAGTCCCGCTGCTCCCCCTGGATTCCCTGAACGTGCTGGCCAAGCAGCTGGACCGCAGGGACCTGGGGCAGGCTCTGCTGCTGCTCAAGCTCTTCGTCATCCTGTGCAGGTGGCCCCCCTGAGGTTCACCCCAAGTGGGGAGGGGAATGGGAAGCAGGTGTGGCTCGTGAGTGTGACAAGTGTGACCTCCCCATCCCCAGGAACCTGGAGAACCTGGAGGCCGGCTGGGCCCAGGTGCTGCTGCCCCAGGTGCTGTCGCTGCTGACCGGGCTGGTAGCTGAGGTGAGGGGGGCTCTCAGCGGCGGGCAGAGGTGGGTAGCAGCTGTGGCCACGGCAGGGCTGACCCATCCTCATCCTCCTTCCCTCTCCCCATACCCGCAGCTGAAAGGACAACCCCCACCCCAGGAGGACCAGGGGACCCAGCTGGAGAACGTGGCCCTTCATGCCCTGCTCCTCTGTGAGGGCCTCTTTGACCCCTACCAGACCTGGCGGCGCCAGCACAGTGGGTGAGACCCAGCCTCAGGCAGGGGACCCAGAAAGGGCTGCGGAAAAATGGGGGTGCCGGGCTTTGGTGTGCACGCCTGGGCCCTCGCGCAGGCTGGAGGAGGGTCACCGTGGGGCGAGCCAGGCGAATGGAGCCTAGAGCCTGCCCTCACGCCCAACTCCCCGCTACCCCAGGGAGGTCATCAGCTCCAAGGAGAAGAGCAAGTACAAGTTCCCTCCTGCTGCTTTGCCCTGCGAATTCAGCACCTTCTTCCAAGGTCAGGCCCCGCCCACCAAGCCCCGCCCACCAAGCCCCGCCTCTGCCCTGCAGGCACCACCTGGCCCCGCCCCGAAGCCCGGGCTGTTCCTTGCAGTTCCCTGACCCTTAGCTGAATAGCAGCCAGTCCTGGAGGAGCCACGGTGTTTGGGGGTTCTGGAGGCCGAGTAGGAGTTCAGGGGCAGAGGAGAGAAGGGACACGGGGGGGGGGGGGCAAAGTAACTTTCTTCCTGGGCTGGGCTGAAGTGGGGTGTTGATCTGCACCCTGGATTTCCCATCTTCCTGTCTTTCGGGTCGTCGTGGCCACTTGGAAGATACTGTGATCCAGACACCAGAAAACTTCCTGATCCGCTCCTTGTAGCCCGCACCGGTCCCGTCCCTCCTCAAGACCGCTCCTGAGTCCCTTCTCTGCTTTCTTTGGAGGAAGAGTGGCCAGGCCTTGTGTGAGGGGCTCAGGGTGGGCAGGGCTGTTGCAAGACTGCAGACTTTGGGGTACAGAGTCCCTCAGTGTCTCTGTGAGGCACAGGAGCTGCTGGCCTGGTCCAAAGTCCAGCTCAGCGGAGGCACCTTGGGGAACAACCTGCCTCAGTTTCTCCCCAGCACTTTTTTGTTTTGTTTTATCTTTTTGAGACAGGGTCTCGCTATGCAGTTCAGGCTGGCCTTGAGCTCACTTTGTGGCCCACGCTGGCCTTGAACTCACAGTGATCCTCCTGCCTCAGCCTCCTGAGTGCTGGGATTACAGGCGTCCGCCACCACACTCAGCTCTTTTTTTCTTTTTTTGCACTGGGAATTGAGCCCAGGGCCTTCCCACTGAACTATATTCCCTCATCCCCCCACCTTTTTTTTTTTTTTTTTTTTTTTAGTTTTTGAGACAGTCTCACTATGTAGCTCAGGCTGGCCTTGAACTCACTATGTAGCCCAGGTTGACCTCAAATTTATGATGATCCTCCTGCCTCAGCCTCCCGAGTGCTGGGATTATGAGGAGGGTATGCCACCATACCTGGCTTGTTTTTTATTTTGAGACAAAATTTCACTAAATTGCTAAATTGCCCAGGCTGCGCTTGAATCTATAATCCCCTGCCTCAGCCCCACAAAGTGCTGAAATTACAGGTGTACACCACCACACCCAGCTATGAGCCTTCTTCCTGAAACAGACTAGATTTGGTGCCTTCCCCCAAGGTGAACCCCTGGAGTGGCAACCCCTGCTGGCCTGCAGGGTTCAGTCCTGCCCGATTCTGTCCAGCCCTCCTTCCTGGGATGTTACTGTCACTGTGTCCTCCTCTTAGGATGCTACGGTCACCCGGTCTTTGCCCACAGCATTCTCGCCCTTCAAAAGCCCCCTCCCCAGGGCCTTCTCCCTCCCCATCTGAGTCCCCCCAGCCCCTCCCCACGTGACCCGGGGCTGGTCCCCTTCTGCTGTCTGGGTTTCAGCCCCAGGCCTGGCATCGTCCGGCTTTACTGGAGCAGGGCCAGGTGGACCTCCAGTAAATGAGGCTGTGAAAGCCCCTAGAAGTCCCCGACTGGGTGGCAGGTGGGGGCGGAGAGGGCATCCGGACTGTTGATCCAGCAGGGTCCCCAGCGGGGCTTGAAGCTCCACCTGCCACCAGGAGATTTGCATCTGAGAAACTAAACCCTGGGTCACCATGGGGAAGCGGAGGGGGATGTGCTTACCCTGCAGCCCCCCACTTGGGGTGTAAGCCTGGGGAGCAGTCTCGGGTCTGAGGGCAGGGCCCCGTGTCATCTCCCCACCCTGTCCCCTAGAACGGCGCCAAGGAGTTGCGGCCGAGGGGAGTCCTCTCGGCCCAGCTCCCACTCCATGTCCCCAGGCCAGGACACCACTTCCTGAGCAGTGTGCTGGCCACAGCCCTGCGGCTTTGGTGACACCGTCCTGTGCCCCTGTCCCCTCTGCTTGCAGAGAGCTTGCAGGATGCAGACCGCTTGCCCCCAGGGCTGCTGCTGCGGCTCATCCACCTCTTCAGCGCCGTGCTCGCAGGAGGAAAGGTAGCCCACCAGGAAGGCAAGCGTGGGCTGGGGCCGCGGCTCCAAATGAGCTCCTGCCCATCTGCCCATCTCTGCCCTCACCTGCAGGAGAACGGGCAGATGGCAGTGAGCACCTGCTCCGTGCAGGGCCTGCTGGGTGTGGTGCAGGGCTGGGGCCGCCGGCCGGCCCAGGACCCCCGCCTCTTGCCGCTGGCCCTGGAGGCCCTGGTGGGTGCCGTCCACATTCTGCATGCCAGCCGTGCACCACCACGCGGGCCCGAGCTCCGTGCCCTGCTGGAGGGCTACTTCCGCGTCCTCAATGCCGACTGGCCAGCGAGTCCCAACTCGGGCCCCGAGGAGGCCCTGGTCTCCCTGCGCATCAGCATGCTTGGTGGGTACTGTTGCCTGGGCTTCCCAAGGGCACTGAGGGGAGGGCCCCGTAGCGGTGGACGCGCAGCGCGGGGAGCACAGAGGGAGGCTGCCGCCGCGGCCGCCCCCAGGCTGTTGTGAGCCTGACTTGACCTTCGTGTAGACGCCATCCCGATGATGCTGGCCTGTGACGACCGGCCGGTGCTGCAGGCCACCTTCCTCAGCAACAACTGCTTCGAACACCTCATCCGCCTCATCCAGAACAGCAAGGTGCGCGGGCTCAGGCTGGGGCGTCAGGTTCTGCAGAGCAGATGTGGCCACGGCCTGTTCTGGGGCGGGTCTGGGGCTCGGGCGCGGGCATGGCTCCGGGTGGCTCTGAGCCCGCAGCAGGGCGGTGTCGTGGGAGGGAGGAGCAGAGGCCGGGGCTCAGCCGCACTCTCCCCACTGTGCCTGGGACTCGGGAGGCCCCTTCCTCTGGGCAGAGCCCGGCAGCTGCCCTGGTCCTGCTCTAACCCCACCCCTTCCGTCTTCCTCCTCTCCTCCGCCCCCTTCGCCCTGTGCTCCCCTCCCCAACAGCTGTACCTGCAGGCCCGGGCGCCCCCTGAGGGGGACAGTGACCTGGCTACCCGGTTACTGACCGAGCCCGATGTCCAGAAGGTACCACCCCGGGGCTGCCCGGCTCAGGCACCCCCTCCCTGGGCACTGCCTGCCCGGCTCCCTCTTGGAGCCTTTTCTGCACTCTAGCAGCGGGGTGGGTCCCCGTGCTGTCTCGCCCACCTTCCAAGCCCATCCCAGGGCTGTGGCGGGAAGTGGCCCATCACACGCCTGGCATCAGAATCGGGCACTGGGGTGTGGCTATGCCAGATGCTGGAAGGAACCTTCGAAACTCAACCACCCACCCCATGTCTCAAAAGGGGACACAGAGGCCCCGACACGCAGGGACTCCGCGGTCATCACTGGTGGAGGCAGGGTCGCCGGCAGGGCGTCTCCTGCCAACCCTTAGTGGGTCCCCGGCTGCACCCCAGGCCCCGAGGCTGTGCCTCCCCTGTGTGAGGCTCTGGGCGGCCAGACGGGCCCCACCCCTGGTTTTGTCTTCATCGGGCAGCCCTGTGTCCACTGCGCTGTGGACATTTTCTGAGAGCCTGTGTGTCCATTCTTTTACAAAGCAGGCAGAGCAAGCTGACTCCCCTTTTCTTTTTTATGTTTGTTTTGTTTTGTTTTGGCTTTTTTTGAGACAGGGTCTCACTACGTAGCCCAGGCTGGCCTGGAATTCACAGTGATCCTCCTGCCTCAGCCTCCTAGAGTCCTGCATTTACAGGCCTGTGCCACTGTGCCTGGCTTCTCTTTTATTTTTCTAGACAAAGGAACTGAGGCCTGGAGATGGGGAAAAGGTTGCATGAGCCAAACGGGGGAGCTGGCCAGAGCTGGGACTAAAAGGCTCTACAGTAGAGCTGAAGGCCTACTGACAGCTCTGTGTCCTTGTCACCTCTTGGGGCGGGCAGGGAGCAAGCAGTATGCCCCTGGCTGTCAGGTCTAATCAGGCTGAGCCGGAGTCCCCACCTGGGTCTCAGGGCAGGGGGCAGGGTAGGACGGAGAGGTCTCGAAGGTTCTTCTGGTTGTAACATCCATTGATTGATTGTCCCGCTGCCCTCCGCCCGCTGTCAATCATGTGGGTGATGGACTCTTGCTGGCTGCTTGCACCCGCAGGGATGTGGCGGGGGGCTAAACCCACTGGGGAATGGGAAGGGGGTGCAGTGTGAATGACCACCGTGGATCTGTCCCACTGAGGCCTGTCCCAGCCTCAGTTTCCTCCCAGGCCGCTTTGTCAGAGGTCTGGCCAAGCTGCTCACAGAGGGTCTGGCGACAGGGTTGGGTCACCACAGTTGGACAGGTAGAGGGTGCCCACACCGGCTTGCTGATCCAGCACAAGCTGGGGCCCCTGGCGGGCCTTGGGGTACAGAGTGCTGCCAGCTGTAACAGCCTGCACCCGCCCCTCCCCAAGGTCCTGGACCAGGACACAGATGCCATCGCTGTGCACGTGGTCCGCGTGCTGACCTGCGTCATGAGTGGCTCCCCGTCGGCCAAGGTGAGGATGCCTGGGCTTGGCCTCGGAGGGCCTTAAAGTGGCATTAAGTGGCCCATAAGAATCCTGCTTCCTGGGGCAGAACAGGGGAGCTGAGGAGATGCCCGCCCTGCCCTCCGGGCACCACTGGGCAAATTGGGCAGGTGTCATCAGCCTGTGCCCCAGCCTCCCGAGGTGTACCAGGTTCCCATCCCTCTGCTACCTCCCAGCCTGAGGCAGAGCCAGGCGAGAGAGACCCAGAAATGCCCCGCAGGGTCTCTGCGGGGTGTGTGCCTGTCCCAGGGCTACGCACATGCTCACAGCCTGCACACCGCGCTCCCTCCAGGAGGTGTTCAAGGAACGCATCGGCTACCCGCACCTCCAGGAAGTCCTGCAGAGCCACGGGCCCCCCACTCACCGGCTGTTACAGGAGCTGCTCAACATGGTGAGGGCGGGTCTTGGGGTCGCCTGGGAGTGGGAGGTCATCACCTGGGAGGGCTGTGCTGACGGCATCCTGTACAGTGTGAGCCACGGCCAGGCCACGCTGTCAGGCTCCCTGGAGTGGGGATGCAGTACTGTGGGGCCATCCTAGTAGTGTGCTGCTCGGGGCTTAGCCAACCCAGGCTGTCGCTGAGGCTCTGAGGCAGACAGGGCTGGAGAATTACTGTCAGGGGCCACCCATCCCCGTGTACCTCCGACTCTATGCGCACAGGGGTAGCACATGTTGCTTTCTCATACTAGAGCCCAGTAAACCAAGGCTGTGGGCAGGATGCTGCCATGGGCTGGTGACTGTCACACTGTCTCCCCCGCAGGCTGTGGAAGGCGATCACAGCACGTGCCCGCCTCCACCAATACGCAACGAGCAGCCGGTGCTGGTGCTGATCCAGTGGCTGCCGGCGCTGCCCACCGCTGAGCTGCGGCTCTTCCTGGTCCAGCGCCTCCGGTGGCTCTGTGACAGCTGTGCCGCCAGTCGGGCCACCTGCGTGCAGGCAGGCCTGGTGGGCTCCCTGCTGGAGACACTCAACGTGGGGAGTGCCCTGGGGGCCCGGTGCCGGGAGCAGCTGCTGGTCCTGCTGCAGGCGCTGGGCCGAGTGTCCCTGAGCCCCCTGGAGCTGCGTCGCCTGCTGCGCCCCCCACGCGGCCTGGACTCAGACGGAGCTGAGGCCGAGAGGGCCCGCCATGCAGGCTCTGTCATCCGAGCGCTGTCAGGCATGGCCCGGCACCAGGGTCCCGCGCGTGCCCTGCACTACTTCGACCTCACGCCCAGCATGGCGGGCATCATGGTGCCACCCGTGCAGCGCTGGCCAGGACCCGGCTTCACTTTCCACGCCTGGCTCTGCCTGCACCCCACGGACCCAGCGCCAGCCCCAGCTCCTGCCCGGCCACTCCAGCGGAAGCAGCTGTACAGGTGGATGATGGGGGCCGGGGACCGGGGACCCACTGCCACAGCAAGCAGGAGGAAGTGGGTATAACCAGCTTGCCCGTCCCCAGCTTCTTCACCAGCAATGGCTCAGGGTTCGAGGCCTTCTTCACGGCGGAGGGGACCCTGGTCGTGGCTGTGTGCACACGGAAGGAGTATCAGACCATTAGCCTGCCCGAAGAGACTTTCGCCAACTCCGCCTGGGTGAGGTCTCGCTGCCCACGCTCCCTCAGGCCCGGTGTGTGTGTGTGTGTGCGCGCGCGCGCGTGTGCACATGTGTGCCTGTGTGTACCGGAGAGCGAGGGAGATCAAGTCCCAAGTTCACCCTCACATCCTGGCTCCTGTTCCAGCACTGCGTGGCCATTGTCCATGTGCCTGGGCGCCGGCCCTTCAGCCAGAGCCTGCTCCACGTCTACAAAGATGGCCACCTGGTCAAGACAGCACCCCTGCGCTGCCCCTGCCTTAGCGAGGTGTGCCAGGCAGGGTCTGGGGAGACCTTGGGTCGGTGTGGGCTCTTGGAGTGCTCTGGGTGAGGTGCGGCTCAGAGGCTCTGTGTGTCCTCCCTTTGCCACCCGGGCCTTAGAATTCAGTCCTCAGGAAAAGCCAGGCATGGTGGTGCATGCCTAGAATCCCAGCACTTGGGAGGCTGAGGCAGGAGGATTGCCTCAAGGTTGAGGTCCAGCCTGGGCTACATAGTGAGTTCAAAACCAGCCTGAGGTACAGTGAGATGCCATCTCAAAAAACTAAAAAGAAAGAACTCAGCCTCTGGGGTCCACACAGCCAGTGGGGTCACCAGGAGGAAGTAGACGTAGGTGGCGCCTCAGGTTTTGCTGCAAGCTGACCAGTCCCCCAACCCTGGCCCCGCAGCCTTTCTCTTCCTGCTGCATCGGCTCTGCTGGGCACCGTACAACGACCACCACCACAGGGCTGCCCACGGCTGCCATCCCCACGGCCCTGGCCCACGCACACCCCTCCCTCACCCGCTCCCAGTCGGTCCCGGCCTCCACAGCACTGGGCTGGGGGTCCGGGCTGGTGGCCCCCCTGCAGGAGGGCAGCGTCAGCTCCACGCTTGCAGGCACCCAGGACACGCGGTGGGGCAGCCCCACGTCCCTGGAGGGCGAGCTGGGGGCTGTAGCCATTTTCCACGAGGCCGTGCAGGCAGCTGCTCTGCGGACGCTGTGTGCCCTGGGTATGTAGCCCCCTGCGCCCGGCCCTGTCCCTGTGCTGCTGTCCCAAGACCAGGGGCTGGGCCTTATGAGATGCCGAGGCCAGGGACCTGGGGCCCAGGTGTTAGAGGGTGTTGCTGGGACTCTGTCCTCCCCTCTGGCTCCAGATGGGTGTGGCCGGAGCACCAGGGAGATCTGAAGCCCGCTGTCCCTCCCCAGGGCCCAACGAACCCGCGCCCTTCAAGCCCGAAGGTGAACTGCACGAGCTGGGAGCCAAGCTGCTCCTCCATTACTCCCCGCAGGTATCTGGGGACCAGAGGGGGCTGTGCTGGCTCCCACACTGTCTGCCACCCCTTCCTCTGTCCAACCCTTGCCACCTGCTCACCCTTCTCCCCCAGGCCTGTAAGAACAACATCTGCCTGGACCTGTCCCCTGGCCACGGGCTAGATGGCCGCCTGACGGGACACAGGGTGGAGACGTGGGACGTGAAGGTGGGTGTGTAACGCGTGGCAAGCCTCTCAGGCTGGGCCCTGAGCAGGTAGAGGAGACCTGGTCAAAACAGCCAAACTAGCCAGGTGTAGTGGTACATACCTGTAATCCCAGCACTCAGGAGGCTGAGGCAGGAGGATCATTGTGAGTTCCAGGCCAGCCTCGGCTACAAAGTGAGCTCACGGCCAGCCTGGGCTACATAGTGAGACTCTGTCTCAAAAAGACAAAGGAGCAAATAAGACAGCTAAGATTCCCTAGATCTGGGCTTCCTGACTAGATGCCCTGGGGGCACACCGCAGGGCAGGACACAGGCTAGGGGCTGCCCTGTCACCCTCACCCCTCTCCCAGGATGTGGTGAACTGTGTGGGGGGCATGGCTGCCCTTCTTCCCCTGCTGGATCGAGTGGCTGCGCAGCCCCTAGAGGCCGAGGCAGGCCCAGCTGAAACACATGACCTCGTGGGGCCTGAGCTGACCTCCGGCCACAACAGCCAGGGCCTGCTCCTCCCACTGGGCAAGTCTTCAGGTGAGCATCCCAGGGCCTGGGTCATGGGGCAGAATCTGGGGGTGATGGGGTGCGAGTGCTTGAAGCCTCACAGCCGCTGGCCCTTGACCTGCCTGTCTCCTTCCTGGTGACCGGCAGAGGACCGGATGGAGAAGAACGCAGTGGCCGCTTTCCTGCTGATGCTGCGTAACTTCCTGCAGGGCCACACTGTGAACCAGGAGAGCCTGGTGCAGTGCCAGGGCCCTGCCATCATCGGGGCCCTGCTACGTAAGGTGTGTTCCGGCGGGCGGCAGAGGGGCCATGTCTGTGTACTGAACCAGGGGACCAAAAGGCAGAAGCCCCTGCAAGGGTGGCGTTTGAGGGTACAAGAGGCCCTGGGAAGGGCAGCCAGGCAGGGGCAGTGGAGCCCCAGAGGAGGCGGCCCCTGGCACTCAGCAGTGGCAGGAATGGGGATGGTCGTGCCTGCACGGGAAGCCTGACACCTCCGCCCGCCGCGCCTCCGCCGCAGGTGCCCAGCCGGGGCATGGACATGAACGTGCTCATGTCCGCCCAGCTGCTCATGGAGCAGGTGGCCACGGAGAGCAGGGGGCCCCTCCTGTACCTGCTGTACCAGCATCTGCTCTTCCACTTCCACCTCTGGACCCTCAGCGACTTCGCTGTGCGCCTCAGTAGGTGTCGGGAGTGGGGCGTGACCCTGCCCTGGGAGGCCTGGCAGTCACGTGGGCCTGGGCTGGAGGAGCTGAGGGCTGCTCTGCGGGTGCCCCTCAGGCCACATCCAGTACATGTCCAGCATCATCCGCGAGCACCGACAGAAGCTGCGGAGGAAGTACGGGGTGCAGTTCATCCTTGACGCGCTGCGGACCCACTACGGGTGAGGCCGTGGGATGAGGGGTGTGGGGCAGCTGCCCTGGGCCCTGCTGCCCTCCTGCCTGGCTCATCTCGCCCCTCTATCCCTGCTAGCCCACAGCGGGAGCGCCCCCTGGCGGTGGATGACCTGCGAACGGTGCAGACCTCCCTCCTGGGCCTGGCTCGCGAGTTCCTGGTGCGGAGCTCCTCCCCAGAGGACCTGCAGGTCCTGCTGAGCTTCTTGGCAGCGATGGGTGATGACAACCAGGTAGACTGGAGGTGTGCCAGGGTGAGGTCGGGAGAGCGGTGCGTGGACCAGGTGGCGAGCAGCCTCGCATCCGCAGGTGGTGGGCGTGCTGGACCTGCTGCTGGGCCTGCTCCAGGCCTCCTCCTCAGCACAGGACTCCCTGGCTGTGTCCCTGCTGGAGCCTGGGAACCTCGAGGTGCTGCTGGCCCTGCTGGTGCGGCCAGGGTCCTCGGCCCTGGTGCCCGACCGAGTCTGTAAGGTACACCCTGCTACCTCGGCGTCCCAGGCGGCCTTTCAGCGGGTGACACAGCCCACCTTCGCGGGCCTCTCCTGGAGACACACAGTTGTGCAGTGACTTCCTGTCTCAGAGAAAGTCCTGGCCCATAACGACACCCAGTCCCACGGCCCCCACAGATCCTGCGCAGACTGCAGCTGAATGAGCGATTGCCCGAGCGGAGCCGCCAGCGGCTCCGCCTGCGAGACACTGGGCTCCTAGGCCTCGCTGCCTGCCTGCCCGAGGGGACTGTCTCCCCACAGCTCTGCCAGGGCCTCTACAGGCTGTTCCTGGGGGCAGGTATGACCTGGCTGGGGTCAAGAGGCAGGCCAGGTGGTGTGGGTATGCATCTCAGCCCTTCTTGAAGGGCCAACCCCTCAGGGCCCCTCTGCCTGTCCTGCCAGATGGCCTGAACCTCTCTGACCTGCTGGCTGTGGTGCAGCTGTCCCTCCAGGCTGACCTCAGCGTGCGCCTGGACATCTGCCGCCAGGTGGGTGAGAGACGAGGAGGGCTTGGGGCCTGGAGCCTGGCGGGCAGTTGGATGGGTCCTCATCGTCATGCCTGGCCCCACAGCTCTTCCACCTCATCTATGGACAGCCGGCCGTCGTGCGGCTGCTGGCCCGTCAGGCTGGCTGGCAGGATGTGCTGACCCGGCTGTATGTCCTGGAGTCTGCTGCAGCCGGGGGCCCCCCACCCTTTGCCCCAGAGCTGCCTGCCTCCCCGGAGCCAGCCCTGCCATCCACAGAGTCCCCGGTGGAGCCCTCAGACGTCTTCCTGCCCCCAGAGGGCCCCGGCCCTGATCCCGAAGCCTTTTACCAAGCTCTCTCCCCATTCTGCACGCCCTTTGACCTGGGCTTGGAGCGGGCCAGCGTGGGCTCAGGCACCACAGCGCTCAGCGGCAGCAGCAGTGGGACCCTGACTCCAGCCAGCCAGCCTGGCACCCCTTCCCCGCTTGATGGGCCTCGGCCCTTCCCCACCGCCCCTGGCCGGCACAGCTCCAGCCTTTCCAACGTGCTGGAGGATGGCAGCCTCCTGGAGCCTGCTGTGAGCGGGGACGACACCTCCAACACAAGCAACCCTCAGGTGAGGGTGCTGAGCTGGCGGTGAGGCCTCTGTGAAGGCGTGGCTATCTCTGAAACCACAGCTGAGGCTGTGGCTGGGCCTGGTACTGCTCCGTGTAGCAGTCACCTGCAGGAGGGTGCACTGGAACCAGGCAAGCATGGTGAACCAAGGTGGGGGACACCAGCCAGGCTTTGGGAGGACCCTAAGGAACCTGTAATCCTCAGGAGGCTGAGGCAGGAGGCTCACTGTAAATCAAGGCCAACCTGAGCTATGCAGTGAGTTCAAGGCCAGCCTGAACTACACAGCAAGACCTTGCCTAAAAAAAAACTAAAAAAACAATTACCCAAGTTTCTCCTCTACTTCAGATTGGTGACCCTACGCTGTTCATGCAGGCTTGGTTCTGGGCCGGTTGTTAGCTGAATTTTGTCATCTCCACCCTTGGGCGGATAAGGGGTGCTGAGTGAGGACAGGGTGGGGGGTCGGGGTGATAGTCCTCCCTTCCCAGCCTGTTACCGCACCCCTTGCCTGTGCCCACAGCAAACCCCCGAGGAGGAGCTATGCAACCTCCTCACCAACGTGCTGTTCTCAGTGACATGGAGGGGCGTGGAGGGCAGCGATGAGGCTGCCTGGCGGGAGCGTGGCCAGGTCTTCTCGGTGCTCACCCAGCTGGGCGCCTCGGCCACCCTGGTGCGCCCGCCCGACTGCATCAAGCGTAGGTGCGAAGGCAGCGGGGAGGGTGCGGGGTCTTGGGGAGCCTGGGCAAGGGAGGCAGATGGGGAACAGTCGCTCCACCTGCTCACCCACCGCAGCCTCCTGGAGATGATGCTGGAGTCCGCCCTGACTGACATCAAAGAGGCCACCCCCGGGGCCCTGGCCGGCCTCACCCAGCAGGCACTGTGGCTGCTTCGGCTGCTGCAGGACTTCCTGTGTGCCGAGGGCCACGGGAACCAGGAGCTGTGGAGCGAGAAGGTGAACAGCCGAAGGAGAACAGCTCAGTGGGGAGGGAGCAGCCTCCAGCACCTTTCCTGTGGGGCCTGCGGGAAGAGGGGGTCTCCAGCCTTCTGCTCATCCCTGACGACTCCTGGGGGTCCATCTGGGGGTGCCGGGAGGGGAGGTGGAGGCACGCATGCAGGCCACCACTGGTGCATAGACCCTACCTGGGTTAACCTTGTTCCCTCCCCATGGGTCCCCTGGCTACCTGGGGTGGCGACATCTGTCCAGAACCTGTGTGTGTGTGTGTGTGTGTGTGTGTGTGTGTGTGCGCGCGCGCGCGCGGTAGCTCTTTGAAGGTGTGTGCAGCCTGCTCGATCGCCTGGGAGCCTGGCCGCACCTGGCCAACAGCACGGCTGACCTCCGCGAGATGGCACAGATTGGCCTGCGCCTTGTGCTCGGCTACATCCTGCTGGAGGACCCGCAGGTGAGTGTGGAGGCGGGAGGTGGGAGAGGGTGGCGGGTATGGGTCTCTGGGGGTGCTAGGTGCACCCTTGTCACCCACCCACCCTCGCGCCCCTGCGCCCACCCACAGCTGCACGCCCAGGCCTATGTGAAGCTGCACACGCTGCTGCAGACCGCGGTGCCCACCCGCCGCGAGGAGGCCTGCTACGTGCTCTCCAAGCTGGAGGCTGCGCTGGGCCGGGCGCTGACGGCCTCGCAGGAAGAGGTGGCCGCTGAGTGTGCACAGCCCCCAGCCACGGCTGCTGCGGCAGCCACCGCCTCGGAGCGCTGCTCATGGCTGGTGCCGCTGATGCGCACGCTGCTGGACCGCGCCTACGAGCCGCTGGGGCTGCAGTGGGGGCTGCCTTCCCTGCCGCCCACCAATGGCAGCCCCACCTTCTTCGAGGACTTCCAGGCCTTCTGTGCTACGCCTGAATGGCGGCAGTTCATTGACAAGCAGGTGCTTGGACTGGGGATGGAGGGAAAGGAGTGGGGCCTGGCTGGGAGCAGGCCTCGGTTACCAGACTCTTGTCTCCGCCGGTCTCACAGGTACAGCCCACCATGTCGCAGTTCGAGATGGACACGTATGCCAAGAGCCACGACCTCATGTCAGGCTTCTGGAACACTTGCTACGACACCCTTATGAGCAGCGGGCAGCGGTGCCAGCGTGAGCGCACACACAGTCGCCGGGTCTTCCAGGTGCGTGGCCCCAGGGCAGCGACTGGCTTGGAGACGTGGCCTCTGGAACTGACCGCCACCCTTCCTCTCCCGCAGGAGCTGGTGCTGGAGCCAGCCCAGCGGCGGGCGCGCCTGGAGGGGCTGCGCTATGCCACGGTGCTGAAGCAGCAGGCTGCACAGCACTCGGCGGCCCTGCTGCACTGGGAGGCCACGTGGCGCCAGCTCTGCAGTCCCTGTGGCGCTTGGGCACTAAGGTGGGCAGGGGCAGGGCTCAGTGGGGAGGGAGCAGCCTCCAGCACCTCTCCTGTGGGGCCTGCGGGAAGAGGGGGTCTCCAGCCTTCTGCTCATCCCTGACGACTCCTGGGGGTCCATCTGTAGGGACCCCCCAACCCCCCACTGGAAGCTGTCCAGTGCCGAGACATACTCACGCATGCGCCTGAAGCTGGTGCCCAACCATCACTTCGACCCTCATCTGGAAGCGAGTGCCCTGCGTGACAATCTGGGTGAGAGAGGGTGCCGTGCGGGGTCCGCCTGGTTGGTGTGTCCCCGCCTGCCTCTCTCTGGCTGAGCACCCTCTCCGTCTTGCAGGGGAGGTCCCCCTGACGCTTGCCGAGGAGGCCTCACTGCCTCTGGCTGTGTCCAAAGAGGCCAAAGTCAGCAGCCCGCCTGAGGAGCTGCAGGGAGACCAGCTGGGGGAGGACGAGCTGGCTGGGCTGGAGACGCCGTGAGTGGCGAGGCTGGGAGCTGGCCCTGGGCCCCTGGGATCTGACCGGGTGGCGGGCAGGGCCTCTGCTCCCGTATGCATACACTTCTCAGAGTCCAGGTCCTTTCCTGAGGTGCTTGGGAGGAGAGTCACGTAGGTAACAGGGTTGACAGCTGCTCTTCATTTTATTTAGTTAGTGGTGCTGGGGGTTGAGCCCAGTGCCTTTGCACTGAATTGCATCTGCAGCCCTTTTTAATTCCAAGACAGGCTCTTGCTAAGTCAGTGGGTTGCCCAGGTTGGGCTTGAACTTGTGATCCCCCTGCCTCAGCCTCCCAGAGTGCTGGGATTACAGGTGTGGGTGGCTCAAGCGTGTAGACCTCTGGACTTGGTGGCCTTGGGGGTGGTCAGGAGGGGCTGCCAGAGCCTCAGCTGAGGTGGGTGCTGGCCCCAGGATGGAGGCGGCAGAGCTGGATGAGCAGCATGAGAAGCTGGTGCTGTCAGCTGAGTGTCAGCTGGTGACGGTGGTGGCTGTGGTCCCGGGCTTGCTGGAGGTCACCACGCAGCATGTCTACTTCTACGATGGCAGTGTGGACCGTGTGGAAACCGAGGAGGGTGCGTCCTGATGGGACGGGGTGCACAGGCATGGCCGGGGCCAGCGGGGGCTGGGGTTGGGCTGGGGTTGGGCCGGGGCTAGTGACTCCTGCGCCTGCTGTGGCTCCCGCAGGCATCGGCCACGACTTCCGGCGCCCCCTGGCCCAGCTGAGGGAGGTCCACCTGCGGCGCTTCAACCTGCGCCGCTCCGCACTTGAGCTCTTCTTTATCGATCAGTCCAACTACTTCCTGAACTTCCCGTGCCGGGGCGCAGGGATCGCTGCCTCGTCTCCTTCCCAGGCACCCCGGGCCCAGCCCTGCACCCTGGCCCCCCACACTCAGGTCCGCAACCAGGTGTACTCCTGGCTCCTGCGCCTGCGGCCACCCGCCCAGGGCTACCTGAGCAGCCGCTCCCCGCAGGAGATGCTGCGCGCCTCCGGTCTTACCCAGGTGAGAACCCTGAGTGAGTTGGCACCCCGAAAGTCAGGGGATGCTGAACAGCTGCTGGCTCACCTCCCACCTGCCCTTGCTCCCCAGAAATGGGCCCAGCGGGAGATTTCCAACTTTGAGTACTTGATGCAGCTCAACACCATCGCAGGGCGGACCTACAATGACCTGTCCCAGTACCCTGTGGTGAGGGCCCTGCCTGCCTCCTCCAGCCTGCTCAGCTTCTCCTCCCTGGGGGCTGAGTCCCGAGCTGGGTCCTAACTGGCTGTGCCCTGAACCCCTGGCGCTGTTCCCTGCCGGCCCGCACCCCCGACCAGCCTGGCCCTGGCTCCTATTCTCCCTGAAAGGAATGTGTCCCACCCTGGACAGAGCAGTTTGTCCTCCACTGTTGCCTCTCCCCGCTGTGCCCCCCCCAACCCATGAGCAGGCTCTGTGCCCATCTGTGGGTAAGGGCAGGGCGGGGCTGGCAGGCAGGACCCTCATGTGCCCCCTTCCCTGGGTGGGCGGCCAGTTCCCCTGGGTCTTACAGGACTACGTGTCCCCGACCCTGGACCTCAGCAACCCGGCTGTCTTCCGGGACCTGTCCAAACCCATCGGTGTGGTGAACCCCAAGCATGCCCAGCTCGTGCGGGAGAAGTGAGCATGTGGGCAGGGAGGGCTCAGCGGGGTGGGGCTGGCATGGGGAGGGGTCTGCTGCTGATTCCCCCTGCTCATGGCCCCAGGTATGAGAGCTTTGAGGACCCGGAGGGCGCGATCGACAAATTCCACTATGGCACCCACTACTCCAATGCGGCGGGTGTCATGCACTACCTCATCCGCGTAGAGCCGTTCACCTCCCTGCACGTCCAGCTGCAGAGTGGCCGGTGCGCCAGGGGTGCAGCCGAGGGGAGGACCTGCCTCTCCCCTCCTCCCACCTTGCCTCCCCATCGCCTCACCTTGGCCCATTGCCACTCCATCCCCCAGCTTCGACTGCTCTGATCGGCAGTTTCACTCGGTGGCTGCAGCCTGGCAGGCGCGCCTGGAGAGCCCGGCCGACGTGAAGGAGCTCATCCCCGAGTTCTTCTACTTTCCGGACTTCCTGGAGAACCAGAACGGTAGCGAGGGGAACACTGGCTGCCACGGGGGTGCGGAACCTGGGGTGGCGAGGATGCACCGTGCAGGGGGAGCACACTGCTGACCTGGTTCTCACTAGGCTTCGACCTGGGCTGCCTGCAGCTGACCAATGAGAAGGTGGGTGATGTGGTGCTGCCCCCCTGGGCCAGCTCCCCCGAGGACTTCATCCAGCAGCACCGCCGGGCTTTGGTGAGGAGGTGACCACACAGACCGGCAGGTGGCCAGGGCAGGGGTCACGGCAGGGGGTTTCCGCTGTCCCTGGGCTGATGGCCCCCTTGCACCCTCAGGAGTCAGAGCATGTGTCTGCCCACTTGCACGAGTGGATTGACCTCATCTTCGGCTATAAGCAGCGGGGGCCAGCAGCCGAGGAGGCCCTCAATGTCTTCTACTACTGCACCTACGAGGGTGGGCATGCACTACACACGCGCCGGGGCTGGGGTACAGATGGGGCACAGGAGGCACAGACAGAGTCCTGGCTGCTCTCCTCCCGCACAGGGGCCGTGGACCTGGACCACGTGGCAGATGAGCGCGAACGCAAGGCGCTGGAGGGCATCATCAGCAACTTCGGGCAGACTCCCTGCCAGTTGCTGAAGGTAGGACCAGCCTGGGGGATGGTGGTCACGGTGCCCAGGCCCCGGTGCTGACCAGCCACGTGTCTGCAGGAGCCACATCCACCCCGGCTGTCGGCCGAGGAAGCTGCCCAGCGCCTGGCCCGTCTGGACACTAACTCCCCCAGCCTCTTCCAGCACCTGGATCAGCTCAAGGCCTTCTTCGCAGAGGTGAGAGGAGGGCGAGACCTCGGCTTCCATTGAGTGAAGTGGCCGAGTCCCACTGTCCTTACCCACCGTGTGGGGCACATGGGAACCCTGAGTCAAGCTCACTGACACAAAGGCACCCTGGAATATGAACTGGACACAATATGAAGGCAGGAGGGAGAGTTGCCTTCCCGAAGGCCAGGACAACCTGTAGACTCGCCGAAGAGTCTCGGAAGGCCTTCGGGAGGTAAGGACGGAGGGGATGTGGCCTCGGACACCTCCCTGGCTGCATCAAGTGTTACTCCTGAGCCTGACGTTTTCAGACTCCCCTCTTCCTAGGGGAGAGGGGATGTAGTGTTACAAGGTGGGAAAATCTAGGCTGAGGCCAAGCTTGGTACTCTGGAAGGGTCTTCTGCATCCGTCCCAGTCTCACGCTGGCTTTCAGAGATGCCCTCCTGCACACTCATCCGACTCGCATGTCTGTTTCTTGAAGGGACCTCTGTGACAGTTTGTGATGCCGGGTGGCAGAGGGCAAAGGAAGGGATGGTGCCCTAGAGAGCAGACTGCTGGCACTTGTCACTACCAGCCTCGTACTTTTTTTTCCCAGCTTGCACTTGTCCCCACAGGTGATCAGTGACGGCGTGCCCCTCGTGCTGGCCCTGGTCCCCCACCGGCAGCCCCATTCCTTTATCACCCAGGGCTCGCCAGACCTGTTGGTAGGTGCACTGGCAGGGCCGCCACCTCCACTCCACCCCCTCTCTAGCTCTTCGCCAAACCCACCTGTGCCCCCACTCTGCCTGCAGGTGACCGTGAGTGCCAATGGGCTGCTAGGCACCCACAACTGGTTGCCCTATGACCGAAACATAAACAACTACTTCAGCTTCAGCAAAGACCCCATCATAGGCAACCCCAAGTAGGACACAGGGCTGGGGTAGGGTGGGGGTGGGCTGTAAATGCCACCTCCCCACTCAAGCAGGATGTCACCCAGCAGCAGGGGAGGGCAGGGGGCTGGCCAGGATCACCCAGGGCCTGGGTTTCCGCTCTGTGACCTGGCTTCACCTATTTGCCCTTCTCCGGGTCAGGATGCAGAGACTGCTGAGTGGCCCGTGGGTGCCAGGCAGTGGCGTGAGTGGACAAGCCCTGGCAGTGGCCCCTGATGGAAAGCTGCTCTTCAGCGGTGGCCACTGGGATGGCAGCCTGCGGGTGACCGCACTACCCCGGGGCAAGCTGTTGAACCAGCTCAGCCGCCACCTTGGTACGAGTATCCTTGATGCTGGGGCGAATGAGCCATGTAGGTGTAGGGTGGGGTCTGAAGCCCGCCGGGGAGGTGTGGTGATGGTGTCCTCCCCTTCCTATGCAGATGTAGTGACCTGCCTAGCACTGGACACCTGCGGCATCTACCTCATCTCGGGCTCCCGGGACACCACGTGCATGGTGTGGCGGCTCCTACAGCAGGTGTGCCTGGTGGGCAGCCGTGTGGGGTCCGAAGCTCAGGCCTGCAGCCCATCTGCCCCGGTACCCCCTTCCTTCCACTGCCATGAGCCAGGCTAGGGCTCTCTGGCTGTGGACAGGGCCTTCTCTTTCCTGAGCCTCAGCCTTCTCATCCGGGCCCAGTCCTGAGCCAGCCCTGGTTTCCACAGGGTGGTCTATCAGTAGGGCTGGCACCAAAGCCCGTGCAGGTCCTGTATGGGCATGAGGCTGCAGTGAGCTGTGTGGCGATCAGCACGGAACTCGACATGGCTGTGTCCGGATCTGAGGTGTGTGTACACGTGTGCCCAGGGAAGGCTGGGTATGTGGGGTATCGCCCCCAGAGCCCAGAACCCCCTGCCCAGTGTCTTAACCTGCCCTCCTGCAGGATGGAACTGTGATCATCCATACTGTACGCCGGGGCCAGTTTGTGGCAGCGCTACAGCCTCCAGGGGCCTCGCTGCCCGGACCTGTGTCCCACCTGGCCCTGGGGTCTGAAGGGCAGATTGTGGTCCACAGCTCAACGTGGGAACGTCCAGGAGCCCAGGTAAGGGGAAGGAGCGCCCGGCAGGCAGTGGGGCAGTTGGGATGGAGGGCCAGTTGCTGACTTGCCTGTCTCCCTCCAGGTCACCCACGCCTTGCACTTGTACTCGGTGAATGGGAAGTTGCGTGCTTCGCTGCCTCTGGCAGAGCAGCCTACAGCCCTGGCTGTGACGGAGGACTTCGTTTTGCTGGGCACTGCCCAGTGCACCCTGCACATCCTCCACCTGAACAAGTGAGCCCTCCGTTCTATGAATTCATGGCCCCTCCATGAGGCGCTCACAGGCAGAGGACAGGGGGTACTCCCGTGGACCACATACCGTACACGTTTGTGGGCACATTCCTGCTCACCTCATTTTTCATGGGGAGCTCTTGCTCTGACCACTCTCAGCCGCACAGCTGCAGGAAAACTCTTTATGTCTGAGCGTTTCAACCGAGCCATCCTCAAAATGAGGACGGGTGGGTGACGGGGCATACCGGATGAGTAAGCCACATCTGGCTGCCGGGTGCAAAGTCCCCTCGGAGTTAGGAATTCCTCACACCCCTCCCCTGCTCCAGACTGCTTCCGGCCGCGCCCGCGCTGCCCATGAAGGTACCCATCTGCAGTGTGGCGGTGACCAAGGAGCGCAGTCATGTGCTGGTGGGACTGGAGGACGGCAAGCTGATTGTGGTGGGCGCAGGGCAGCCCTCCGAGGTGAGGATCCGGACGGGGGAGCGGGCTCGAACCCGCCAGGGGCCTCGCACCCGGCTCAGCCCACACCTCTGCTACCCCGAGCAGGTGCGCAGCAGCCAGTTCGCGCGGAAGCTGTGGCGGTCTTCGCGGCGCATCTCCCAGGTGTCCTCGGGCGAGACCGAGTACAACCCCTGCGACGCGCGCTGAGCTCACCCACGCGGCTGCTCAGGCTCCGCCCACGGGGTCCTGCCCTGGTGCTAGGCCCCGCCCCGCGCGCGGCCCAGGAGGCCCCGCCCCGTCCTCCGGGAGGGGCGGGCGGAGTCGCCGGAAGTCCCGCCCCTCGCCGGCTGAGGGCGGGAGGCCGAGGACCGGTCTTTGCGCCTGTGGCGGCACATTTTGCACAGTCCGGGCCGGGAATCCCCAGCTCCCGAGTCCGGGTCCCCCAGGCGAAGCACAGGACCGTCCGTGGCCTTAATCCCCAAAGGCGGTCCCCGCTTGCCCATTCAGAGCAATAAAACTGGCCTAGTTTTGTAGCCGTTCCGTCTCCGAGCATGCATGCACCGGGTGTCTCCCGTCTCCGCGACCGTGGGGCCTCGGTTTCCCCAGCCGTGCAGCCCTTGCCCTTGGGGCCCCACCCTCCCTCTCGTTTGCCGCCTTCGGCCCGGGTGCCTCCTAGCTCCCGCGGGGTGGTGGCAAAGCCGCGCCCTCCCTCGGCCCCGCCCCTTCATTGTCCTGCCCCAATTTCCACCGACCCCGCGGCCCTCCCGGGGCCGCCCCTCCTTTCTGCGGCTCGGGAGCGCCGAGGTCTGGCCTCTCCGGGATTCCCGCCGGCCTCCTGCAGCCCAGGGCAGCCCAGGCCCCGGCCCGCCCGGCCGGGTGGATCTGGGCACCTTCGGAGGGGCGCGCGGCAGGTCAGGAGGGCTGCGGCGGAACGCCGGGGGTGCTGGGCAGAGGGAGGCAGGGCTGCCCGCGCTGAGCCCCGCTGGCCCTGCGGGGGCCGGCGTCTGAGCTGCGTGTGTGAGAAGGCAGGGTGGTGTGGGCGCGCGGCCGTTGAGCTGTTCGTGCGTGTTGTGTGGCTTTGGAGACGGATGGGCAGGCGGGAGGGGCTCCCATCCGGCAGCTCCGGGTGGGTGGGGTGGATGCCAGGCCTGTCTGCTGCCCGAGCTTCCCAGGCCAGAGCACCAGCCAGGATCCCCGGAGGGCCCCCCATGTGGTAAGTGACGCAAACGTGCACACCTCACTGGCGAGGGCCACAGCAGCCCGCGTCCCCGCCCTCCTTGGCCTCAATGCTGCCCTAGATCTGGCCCTTTCTCCCCTAGACCTCAAGAAGCAGTAGGCCCCAAGAGATTCAGCCCCTAGGTCCAGCTGGGTCCTGGACTGAGCAGCCCTGTTCTTCAGGTTTCAGGTCCCCTGCAAATGCCCTGATGAGAAAGAACCCGCGGAAGCCCTAGGCCCACCCAACCACTGACCCGGAGGAAGGGTTGGGAGCAGAGTCAGTACTGCGTTGGGAAGGCCTTCTGCCTTGGGACCTTAGCAGTTGGGTTCAGGGGCCCATGCCGAGGTGTCTGGGGCGAGCCCCGACGGGCCCCCGTCTCCAGGCCTGGTTCTGGCTGGGACGCCCTCAGAGGACTTGTCTCCTTAACTTCCCGTTCCATCCGGCGCTCAGACCAGGTGTTGCCAAGGTCTTTGAGACAGGGTGGCATCCTGACCGTCCAGCTTTGGCCACCTAGGGCCAGCCCTGTCTCCCCACCCCAGCTGACAGCAGGAAACTGGTAGCGCTCTGGAGTCAATGAGGATGGAATGTGCGCAGGGGAGACAAAGGGACTTCTGACATCAGGCCCGAGGAGCGACTCATCGCTGCGTCCCCCCTTCCAGACCCCAAGGAGCAGCCGCCCAGCTCCCTGGCCTGGGTGCTGTCTACAATCAAGGCCTGCCCCAGCGCCCTAGGAAGCCCTGCCCGCGGACGGGACCATGCTTCACAACTCCAGCCACAGCAAAGGCGTGGCCGACGTAGGTAAGCATCCCTCACCCCAGATGGAGGCACCCCAGCTGGGCAGTTTACACTCCGCTCCTCACTGGCTCTGGGGGCCACGCCCCTTATACCTCCTCTGCTCTGGATCGGAGGGGAACTAGCTTCCCCTAAGACAGCGGCAGCATTTACTTTCCTTCCAGCTCACCTTTGTTTTGCAATAACCTACAAGACCTGTGCACAGAGCGCCCCAACATGAATCACTCATGCTCACAGGGCACAGTGGGTGAGGGAGACACAGTTTGACGCCACAGCACACAAGTGGCACAGGTGGAGCCAGAGACATCGGGGACGGCTTCCAGAGTAGGAGATGCCCGCTGGCTTGTCAGGGAAGGTAGAGAAGTCTGGAAGCTTGGGCGGGTAGGGTGCACCAGGGAAGGGTTGGGGGTCAGCGTGGCAAGCGAAGGCAAGGCAGTAGCTAGGGTGGGAAAGGCCAGTCAGCACTGGACACCATGCCATAGGGTTCGGACTCTATGTGGTGAGGACTGTTAAGACTGTCCAGGCAAGGTCCAGGTGCGGCTGTGCGGAACCCGTGCCCTGCGCCTTGCTCCTGACCCTATCTTATCCTTTCCTCCACAGATAACACCCTGAGCGGGCAAGACAGAGACAGGGAAGGAGCATGGGCAAGAGCTGGGGGAGCTCTGGCCCCCAACACCTCCTCCCCATTCCCCCCCGAGCCTCCAGGGGCCTCAGGCAGCATCATTCCCGTCTACTGTGCCCTCCTGGCCACTGTGGTCCTCGGTCTCCTTGCCTATGTGGCCTTCAAATGGTAGGTGTCCTGGCACAGACCCTTCACATCTGGACTCTCAGGCAGCTCCCTGCCTTGGTGAAGGTGGGAGCACATTGGCAAGCACCCCCTGCTCCCCACAGCTGGCGCTCACATCAGCAAAGACAGCAGCTGGCCAAAGCTAGGACTGCAGAGCTGGGGGCCCTCAGCAGGGACCAGAGGCTTGGCAATAGCAGCGTCTGTCTGGACTCTCCAACTGGTCTAGAGCCCTGTGCCCCCAGCCAGGGTGAGCCCCTTTCCTCACTCTGTATTACCCCTATGCGCCCCCTCGTGCCCTGCACCCCCACCCTCATGACCCTCATGTCTTCTGCCCCAGGACTGCATCCTGACCTTGGCTGCCAACTTTACCTTCGCCTCCCGCGGCAGCAGCAGGAGGAAGTGGAGCGGCTCCTGGAGGTGTCAGGCGAACCTGACAAGGGCTGGCAGGGCCTGGCAGGTCGCCTTGGGTACCAGGCTGAGGTTGTGGAGACCATGGCCCAGGGCCAGGCGCCAGCCTATAACCTGCTGAGGGACTGGGCCAGCCAGGAGGGCAGCAGAGCTACCCTCAGGGTACTACAGGACGCCCTGGCTGCCATGGGCCGGGAAGACGTGGTTCGGGTCTTGGGATCTGCAGGGGAAGGCTGCTCTGTGGTGTGAGTGACGGTCCCCACAGCCTGCTCTGGTGATCCCCACCACCCCTGCCTCCCCCAACAACTTCGCCTTCACAGGTTTCTAGCATTGCAGGCTTTGGGTTGCACTGTTCTGGGCGGGGGTTGGGGAGGGACATAGGATCCAGCCGCAACTCCTATCTCGTGCTTCCCTCCTGGAAAGTGAGCAGGACACTGGCCATGGTGGGGAGTAGGCAGCGAGGAGTGATCCTGCTCTCCCAGTCCCCACACTGCCTCCCCTTATCTAGGCTTATCTGTTTTCTACTTTTGTATTGTATATTAAAGGTGCCTTTGGACTTTTGTGTTGGCTCTGTCTGGCTTCTTGAGCCCAGGAAAGGGCTGGGGTGCCAGGCATGGTGGCGCACAGGCACGGTGGTGCACACCTGTAATCCCAACAACTTGGAGGCCGAGGAAGGACTGAGAGTTAGAGGAGAGTCTGGGCAACTTGGTGAAAATCCTGTCTCAAAAAGTGGGGCGAGGGCCCGGGATGTAGCTAAACAGCGCAGCACCTGCCTGGCAAATGTGAGGCCTTGAGTTCTATTCCCGGTACCCCCCAAACCCCCCCCAAGAAAGGGTGAGGTGGGGCTGGGGACATAGTGGGTTCAATGCCCAAGGGAAGGAGTACAGAGAAAGAGAAAGAACAAGGCCTGGGGCAGTCCCTAGGACAGGGGCGGCAAACCTATGGCCTGCATACAGCAGCACTGTTTATCACGGAAAGCTTGAAGCAGTTTGCGGTCACTGCCTACGACGTGGAGGAGCCTCTCCAAGCCGCACTGGGAAGGCGGGTAGGGCACGCCAATAGAGATGCATGGGCTCTGCAGGCACAGACTGCAGTTCCCATCTGGCACCTGCCCTTCGCTGGCTGCATCACGTTGAGAGGCTGTTTGGTGAGATCAGGCGCGTTAGGAGGGTATGGCCATAGACTGGGTGGCTGGCTGAGGCTGTTCTTCAGACTTGTGTGACAACAGAAGGGAAGGCTGAAGGCCCGCACTACTAGACAGGTAGCAGGCTTGTTGTGGGGAGCTAGTTACTGAGGACCTCAGGTCACCTCTAGACCAGGAAAAGGAAGGGAGGACTCTCCTTACAAGACCAAGAATGCACTCAGGAGAGAAGCAGGCTTCCAGAGCTGCTCTGGCAGGTTAGGGCAGGGCACAGGAACAGGTAGGTTGGTTACTGTGCCTTCTGGGGGTGCAGCTGGGATGGGTGGCACCGCAGTAGGGAGACCTTACTAGGAACTGTGTACAGCCACCAATGCGGCGTGTACCAGGACCCAAAGTAATCCTGTCCCCTCAATGAAATGAGATGCCCACCTGGGATGGGCTGCTCTGTGAGTCCCAGATATGTCACAGGCTGAATCTGCATCTTTCCCTTACACAAGGGAGGGCAGAAAGTTTATAGCCACTTTCATGCTTAGGTGACCCTCAGGCCGTAACCCTGCAGGATGGGGGGGAAGGCTCAAGCCAGCTGGGTAGAGACACCACATTCCCCCCGGAGCAGGTAGTCAGCAGAGGGCTGGGTCAGCAATGAGTATAAAATCCCACAATGAGTGGCACGCACTGGCACGCTTTATCCCAAAGGTAGGGGATTTAAGCTTGAAGGGAGACAGAGAAAAGATTGAGAAGACTCAACAGAGGTGTAAAAAAGAGAATTTTTTTCCCTTAAACATGTCTTAACTGAAAAGTGGCAATGCCCTGGTGCCTATTTAACTGCCTAACCTGCCTTGGGAAACCTGAAACTTGGGGCCTTTGGTCAAAACCAGGGGTGTGATTTAGCTGGCGGCTGCAGTGCATGCGGCCACACCCAGGTACTGCAACTGCGAACACACCCACAAGAGGAATGCTCCCTTTAATGTGTTCAAGCACATGAACTGAGTGTCTTTTTTTCTCTCTCTCTTTGGTCTTTTTGAGATAGGCGCACGCCTCTAATCCCAGCACTAGGGAGGCTGAGGCAAGAGGATCAATCGTTGTGAGTTCGAGACCAGCCTGGGCTACAAAGTGAGCTCAAGGCCAGCCTGAGCTGCACAGGGAGACCCTCTCTCAAAAACACACCCCCCCCCCAGCCAAAAAAGAGGCACAACTAGAAAATGTTAAGAGGGCTGAATAAATTCTGTGCTTTAAACCATTTTGAAGGCTGCAGTACCATGGGAAAAAATAGCCCTCATCTATATCTGTGGGTTCCACATCCCTGGATTGAACCTCCACAAACCAAACATCACTTACATAGTGTTTACAGTGTTTACATAGGTACTACAAGTTCGTCTAGAGATGTTCTAAGTACAGGGGAGGATGTGTGTAGATTATAGGTGAATACTGTGTCATTTAAGGGACCTGCACATCCAGATTTTGGTATCCAGTGGGGTCCTGGAGCCAATCCCCCATAAATACCAAGGGAAGACTATACTGTTAAACAGCATGTATTATTACCCTAGAATAAGGATTTTTGTCCTTGTTTAAGAGTTCCTTTAATACTAGAATTGTAAATGAGTTATTTGTCCTTCCTGAGCCAATTTCCTCATCAAGGCCAACTGTGCCTCAGGGTTGTTAAGGATTAAACGACCACAGCTTGAGCCCTCAAATGCTCAGCATGGTGTCTAGCAGCCAGTATGTGCTATATTTCAGCCCAAGATATGGCAGCCACTAATGTGAGCAGGACCACCTGGCGAGGACCTCTGGGCCCCCATCACTTCCTTGATGGACAGCAACAAGGGCTAAGGGGGCTGCCACTGCATGACGTCAACGCTCACTGTCCGTTTACAGTGCCCTGACAGAGGTCCTCTCTGCCCACCATGTACTGTCCTACTGTGTCAGGAGGCATAGTGGGGAGTCAGGGCCCCACACACGGAATGGATTCCAGTACACTGGGAGAAATCAAGCCTCTGGAAGGAAGAGGTCCATCACTTCTCCCCAGGGAGGAGGTATCAAAGGGCAGTCATATTTGCCTCTCTTGACAGGCCCACTAACCAAAGCGGCTCAGTCCCAAGGAGGTCTTAGGTCACACTAATGCTCTGGAATGCCTGTGCCAGCTGACCCAACCCAACTGCAGCCACAAGATCCCAAGCCGACAGATGTCAGCCTCTGGACAACTGTCTGATTCAGCTGCTACGGGACTATGGGAACAAGGCTCATAATAAAACCCAACAGCCAGGATTAATCTTGTACTTTACACAATGGCCACTATCTCTCCTTTCTCTTCACTACACACAACATGCTTGATTAACTTTTACAGAACACACATGCCAAGTTCTTTAATTCATTTTATTTTTTACATAAAAAGTTCAGTAAAAATTGGATAAAGTAAAGTGATTTTAAGCAGTAAATCAATCTTATCAACAGAGCACAGGGCTGGCCAAAACCACAAGGCAGCCTGCTTTGGAATATTTACATGATAACAAATTAAACCTTGCAGGAGAACTTAAACCATCCTTACAAAGTCTTTCTGTGATCCTAGCACATAGAGGCTAAAAGCAAAACAAAAACCAAACAAAAACCAGGAAAAAACAAATTATTTTCAATATATTCACATATACATTAAAATATAATACAGATTATCGGGGAAAGGGTCTTGGGTGGGGATGCGCATGGGTCTGTGCGCTGACAGCACCGCCAAGGAGGAGACCCAGGTTTGAAAGTGGGGTTGGGTCAGGTCTGGCCAGGGTCTTCCCTGGGCCGTTGCACCTGATGGCCTCTAACCACACCCCAACAGCTCAAAACTAGGGATCACTTGTAGATGGAGCTCATTCATCTGACATCTGCAGGCTTGGGTTCCCAGGGTGATGTGTCATCGGTAACACAGCCCCAGCGGTACGTGGGGGTGGGGCCGAGGCCCACAGAATTTCTTCTCCCAGAGTCTGGCCTGTCACCCATACTCCCACCCTGGCCCCACTGGTCACTCTAACTCCGTGTCCTCTTTGGGTTTGTAAACAGCCCCAAACTTCTGCATGTACTTCTTTATGTACTCCTTGGTTTTGTGTTTCACATTCTCATTGCACTCCAGATCCTCAGGGTTCTTACAGTACTTCAGCTCCTTGTTCATAACACCATGAGTCAGCTGTCCAGGGCACAGGAAAAGAGACCACAGCTCCCATCAGAGCGGAAATGATGTGAGGGAGACAACAACCCAGCCTGGGGCTTCCGGGCCCTTATCACTGAGACTGGGAATTGGATAATGGGATAGATCAGGTGGCTCATGGCTAGGACCACCAAAGGCTCAGCATAAAGTTTCTTAGAGAACTACTGCTCTCAAGTAAGGTATCCACCCCCATCCAACCTTCCCTCCTTTTCCTTTTCCTGCCATCTGGCAGTAAAACCACTTTTTATGACAAAGGGGCCATCCTAGAAGGAACAGGTTGGTCAAGACACCAAAAGACCAGAGGCAGTGGAGTACCTTGCGAGCTAGGTGTTTGAAATCCTCAGTTGTGGTGATTCTGCCTACTTTGCAGTCAGGTTTCCGGTAAGGGTTCAGGCACTGGACGATGAACTGAGACATCTGCAGGCGGAGGAAAGGGAGCACACTGCTCAAACAGTACAGAGCAGGCAAGGGTTGTGCTGAGGAAACATTAAGAAAAGGCAGCAAGAAGGGCTGGCGAGTGCGTCCCTCTTCTTCCCTCAGGGTGGCTGGCCTGAACAGTGGAATGCTAGCAAGCCGGTGAGCCTTAAGAGAAGATCCTGGCTCTGCCCTAAGAGGAAAAGTGCTCTCTTGGATGGACTGAGGGACCTGGCAACAATCACTGTGGCCTCAGGTTTTAGCCATGACATCGTGCCCTTGGCATAGGAGACTGAGCTAGGTTCCCTGGCCCCCAGAGGCAGGACAGGTACTCCAGAGCTATGAGGACCCTTTCTAAGTCCAGGAACCCCTGGTGTATTGTCCTCAAAGGCCACTGAGTCTGGAAGGGCTACCCTTTGCTTATTTCATATCACAGCCATGTGAAGCTGATGGAAAACAACATGACAGCTAGATTAAGACAACCCATGGCAGGACCTTTTTCTTTCTATCACTGCCAGCATCCTCCTCCAGACCATCTGTAAGGTCTATCCTACCCAGTGGTTCTCAAAAGAGGGCACGAACCGCAAGTACTGTACTTATGAAGTGTGTAAGATCACAGGGAACGAAGCGGCCAGTGACAGCTACTTTGCCGCTGAGCTTTCTGTTCCTTATTCAAAGAACAAGACTGACGCAGAGATGGTGGTACATGCCTGTAATACTAGCAGAGGAAAGCTGAGGGCAGAGCATCGCAAATTCCAGTCCCACCTGGACAACTTAATGAGACTCTGCCTCAAAAAATAAAGAGCTGAGGATGTAGCT